CCGTGATTCTTTACTTTCAAAACTTTAAATCTATCACTCCACTCTCTTCCTGCTCGCATGAATGTTGAAAAGAAGCCTGATGCAATTCTTATCTTTGCTTCTCTGTAGATAAGGTATTTCTTTCCCCCTGGTTCTCAAAACCCATGCTGGCTTCTCAACCTCTACCCAGCGCTGTCCCTCAAATTTCAGCCTCTTAGCACCTGGAAGTTTAAGAATTGGCACAGGCCCTTGGGAGAAATCAGTGAACAGAATGTTAGATTCACCAGGGAGTTTCCCTTCTTTTCTTCCCTTCTTTCCCTTCTTGGCTCCTCAACTCTTGGCTGCCTGTGAAACTTTCCAACACCTTCACACTGATGTGTTTTGCATTTTTCAGGTGTTTGTCTCTAACTGTTAGTGTGCTACAAACTAGTCAATCATAGCTGAAAACCAAACTGTGAGTGCAAACTACCAGCTTAATATGCCACTGTTGGAATTTTGCCCTAAATTCCAAAATTCCAGAATACTGGGGCATTTGTGACATTTTGTGGACAGAAGCCACAGATGTGGGCCCATGAAGCAAAGGGAAGTGTCACAACTCATCCATCGTGCATCCATCAAACATTTGTGTCCTATAGACTACCCCACACACTGGTACTGTGCTGACCCTGGAAATGTGCCATAGACTACCCCACACGCTGGCACTGTGCCAACCTTGGAAGTGTGTGATGAACTGGCTCCTTTTCTATGGAATGGTTCTTGGTGGGAAAGACAGACATGCTCCCCACTCTCTGCACCACTGATGAGAACCACACATGTCTACAAGGGTAGAGATTGCGATGAACTCTGTGGAGAGCATCAGGGAAGCCTGTTGCTAGGTGGTAACACAGAAGCTATGTTGGAAGACATACAGGAAGGTGCTCCTGGGCACAGTCCCTTTCTTGTTGAAGGAAAGAGTACTGCAAAGGCACAGAGTTGTAAAAGGGCATAGGATATTAGAAGAAATGCGACCGACCTGTTATCTTAAACAGGTGGCCACAGCACTGTGAAGCTGCAGAGAGTCTGGGTCCAGAGTGGGGAGGGGTGGGGGTTGAGCTTTGTCTCACTGCCTAGTTGTGCCATGATGGTTATAACTGAGCACATGCATAACTACTATATGCAATCTTCTGGGACACAGGTGCATAGCCTTCATTGGATTCTCAAAGGGGTTGCAGACCCCTCAAATTTCAAGTCCTACTGCTGAGAGCAAGGGGCACATTTGGCAGGGTTTGAACCAGAAAAGCGGAATCACTGCCTTCCATGAACTATCGTGAGCCTCCTAATAAGCCCCCTTTTTCCTGGGGCTGGTTTGCTTCTGTAAAGAGCCAGCTTGATAATGTCAGGCCACAAGCAGAGGGCAACGCCCGCAAGGCACATATGTGAGCGGAGCAGGCTGGGCCATGGGGCAAGGATGCAGAAGAAGTCACACAGGGCTCCCACCACTACAGGACAGCCGCAGGCTGTCTGAGACAGAGGCCCCAGTGTCCCCTGCTCCTCCTTCCCCTTGTACAAATGTGATTATGCCTCTGCACAGCGGGCTGAAATCAGGTTAGCGTCACTGGGCAATGCTGAGCTGGGGTAATCAGAGCCTGGAGCGGAGCAGGTGCTGGCTTTAAAGTGGCTTCTGAGAATTAGGACAAGCTGACTTGTAGCTCAGCGCCACGTAGACAAGCCATTTAGAACACTGTCCATGCAGCCCAGGCCTCTCTCTGAGCTGCAGAATGATTGGGCTTGTTGGAAGAGTGTCTGGTGTGACCTGGGGTGCTGGGCTCTTTAACCAGGGTTTCAGGAAACTGGGGCCCCAGGAGTCCTATCTACCCACGGTGTGGCAGGACGATGAGAGTTAACCAAACCTGATGTCACATTTGGTCTGCTCCTGCCTCTCTGTGTGTCCTTGGACAATTACCCATCTCTCAGAGCCTCACCAAGTCAACTGTGAAGTAGGAATCATAAATGTATCTAACTCAAAGTCGTGATGATTAAACATAATACAGGAAAATCTCTCAGCATCAGGACTGCTATAGAATAAGTACTCATCCTTATTGTCACCAGCATGAGGCCACTCCCAGGACAAGACAGGATTTTATTGTTTCTACAAAAATGTTTCATGCTCAGAACAAAGATAAACCAATAATTACATAAGAATAAATAAAGGTTGATGTTAACCAAAATCTTATCTCAAGAGAGAAGCAATACTGTTTGTCAAACATTATTCTAGATTAGTCTTCTATGCACACATAGAATAGATGGAAAATAATTTTAACAAGGTGATTTTTAATAACAGAAGTTATTGCATTTAGTTCAATTATCATTTAACTGAAGAAAATGAAATGAAACTAAAGGAATTATTGGATGACTGATGTGTCATTTCTAAGAGACTTACAAGTGAGAAAATTAATTACAAGCAATCATGCTTACAAGCAATAACTAATGTTGTTGAATCATTCTGGTTTTTTTTCTTTAAATTTTTTATTTTAAAGATGTGGGGTACAATTCAGGGTTAGGTATACACATGTTCATTATGTGGTACCCTTGTTGATGAGGTGTGCCCTCCCCCAGCAGATTCCCACTACAGCCAATCCCGTCCTCCCACTTTTTTTTAACGACATGGTTTTTCTATTCCCTTAATGACATAAACAAGGTATTTTAAGAGTCTCATGTTCTACCCACTGAGCCAGCAAGGGACTTAGACAAAGCGTTTAATATTCAGTTTTATATCAGGATGAAATTGCAAATACCAGAGAAAAATAGCACGTTGACTTGAATTCCCACCAAATGACTCAGCTTGTCAAAATGAAGCAAATGTGGAAAATTCTTGATGCTTGGCATGAGGAGGGAGGCACAGAAGTCTAGAGAAAGGGGGCCGAGAGTGCTGGGAAAGTGCCAAGATGTGGAGCCATGAAGTCCAAAGCACCTATAGGCCGGCTGGTTTCTATGTCTGGTGTGTTTGAGCTGTGGGTAAGAAGAAGGAAGCCAGCAAGGTGCCAGCATAACATAGGGCTGGGCCTCCAACCCAGGGTTTTCTGCCCTGAGGACATGGCCTAACTGTGTGTTCATCATGCCTTTTTATTATCTGTATTTCTGTTGCTTTGACATCTTTGGGCCTTGCTGACTCTGGAAGGACAGCCCCCCTTAAGGCTAGTGAGTTCCTAGAGATTTTAAAGGACGTACTTGCAATGCACATTTCACATGCAAATGAACCAATCCATACATCACACTCTGGGCCCTGATCATGCCAAGGCCAAGTACCAAGCAACTACAGACATTCCTCATACCCCAAAGCCCACTGAAATTATACAAACCAGCCAAATACTAAGTTGGCTTACCCTGCCTTGCCTGGATCTCCCTGTGGAAACCACAATGAAGGTTCTCAGCCCTGTTTTTCTCTTACCCCTTTTCCTCCTGACCGATCCTGGTGCTTCCCTGTGTGGTTTCCCATGATGAGGCATGCCCTCTTCTCCTGGGAACTATGAGAAACAAACTGTCTTTAATGGCTGTTATCTCCTGATCTGTTAAGCTCATACCTGAGTAATAATAAAATCTACATTTTAAAACATACTGCCCCTGCTGCACCTGGGAGTAGAATGTTGGCAGACGGACGCCCCTTGGGCCTTGCTGAGTGATACAGAGAGCCCTGCCTGAGTCCAGCCAGGACCTGTTTTGGGACCACGGCCTATTACTGGACACAGAAAACTCTGGCTCCTGGGCAGGGGTCCCTGTCTCTGAGAAGCAATACCTAGTATCTCCTCCAGCTCAGGCAGCTGAGAACAGCAGGGCCTGGCCTGTGAGATGAGCCAGCCACAGGATAGACACCATGCTACAAGAGCACTCTGACTCTTTCTGAGTGGTGAATTTGATTTCCAGGTAAAATGCAAGCAGTCACAGACGAAATGGAACCAGAAAACTTCCAGCTGGGGCTCTTATATATGGATTTCTGACCTGACCGTCCTTATCCTAAGGGCACACAGTGTTGCTGAGACCTTAGTGGGTTCACACAAATTGAATTAAATTTCACACTCCTGTCACATCCACAGAGAAATTTCATTATCCAGACAGTAATGACATGTGTAAATCAATTAGGCTTTCTGCTTTTGTAAACATAATGGGCATTTTGATCATTTGGGTAGAGTTTCAATTCAGCAAATTTGTTTTACCTTCTATTCACCGTCCAGCAAAGTGGAAATTCCAAGTCACACACAAAAAGAGACAGGGTCCCTGGTCTCAGGGGCAACCCGGGTCTAGAGAGAGAGGGAGAGACGCACATATATGGGAACAACGCAATCCAGCTGTTCAAGTAAGTGTTGTCACAGCACCGCAGGCGCTCAGGGGACAAGAGAGCATGCAGTGCCTTCTGGCCTGTGTTTTCCAGTTGTGTGACCCACAGCACTTAATACTTTGTCAGAGCACCGTTTCTGGAATGATTTTCATTGTCAAGGGTGCTTTCTTATGAACCTCCTGAGGGCTGGAGCTAATCTGTGGGAGCGGTGCCATTCAGAAAATTAAAGCTAGCGAATGACACTTTGGGCCAAAATCCTGGTGTGGTTCTCAACTGACACCAAGGGCTGACCTGGAAAAGCAACCCCGGATGAATGGGGCAGTTGTAGTGGCTGCCGCACTTGCTCTGTGCTCTGCATACACGTACACAGCACAGACAAGTAAAAAAATAAAAACACCCAGGCTTCCCATTCCATAGCAGTAAATATGTTCTTGCAGTCGATATGCACACACTCATATTTAGTAAAGTACAATCTAGGAATCGCTGTCTAGACAGTCAAGTGCCTCATTCCTGCCCCAAGGCATCATGATGGAAATGCTGCAGTCGGCAGATCTGTTTCTCCTAATCTCTCTAGTGCCCCCACTCAAAGGTTAAATGGGCATTCATGGGTTTCTGTCTCCCTTCAGCAGACATTCACTGAGCACCACGTCTAAGGCCCAGACTCGCATGGGGTGGGAGATAAAAAGGCTGTCTGCTTTCTACTCTCCAGGTGGTGGCTACACTGGGGACCACATCGTGCTGTTCCTTTGACAATCTCCTAGAGGTGGGTCCTCTCTGTAAGTATCTGATTCTGTTTTCTTTTTAGAAAATGTTCTCCGTACATGGGGAATTCAGTAGACCTTCTGGTTCGGGCTTTCCTTCTTGTCATCAACTTCATGTGACGATGATTTGCCCAACTCTTCTTGGATTTGCAAAAACTGAACTCTCATGAGCTTGAACTCCACAAACTCAGAATATGGACTACTGGACAAAAGTTGAGCTGAGTTATATGAATATATTACTTGTAGGGGGAAAAAAAAAGTGCCTAGCCAAGTAATGGTGATGTCAAGTTGCAGGCAATGTTGACCCAAGCTGAGGAGAATAAACTCTTCAAAGTCTCGGAGCAACTTCCCTTGTGGCTGAGTCGTGGCTGTACTAGCATGATAGGAGAATGATCCATGCTTGAATTTCATATTTTGGCATATCCTCTTTTTGCCTTTTTTGAAATTACTGAACATAGTTCAGCGAATTGCTTAAGATAATTTAGCACATCAAAGCTATACAACTAAATCTCTCCAAAGAGTGACTTGTGCTTCCGGAGTTTTCCTGGGTCACTCTCACCTCCTCTCTCCCTCAGTCAGAGCACCTAGGTTTTCTCGTTGAGACTGGAATTCTGTGATTTCAAAAGGTGGAACGCAAATAAGCAGCTGCATTTTGTTGTTTTTAGAGCCAGGGTCTTACTTTACTGCCAGGCTGGAGGGCAGTGGAACCATCATGGCTCACCACAGCCTCCAACTCCTGGACTCCGGTGATCCTTCTACCTCAACCTCCCAAGTAGCTGAGACTCTAGGTACTCGCCACCATATCCAGCTAATTTTTTGATTTTTTGGTAGAGAAGAGGTCTCACTATGTTGCCCAGGCTGATCTCAAACTCTTGGCCTCAAGCAAAACACTTACCTACAAAAGTGCTAGGATTCTTTTTTTTTTTTTTTTTAGTTGGAGTCCCACTCTGTCACCCAGACTGGAGTGCAGTGGCTGCTCCTGGCCACCGCAGCCTTGACCTGCTGGGCTCCAGCGATCCTTCCGCCTCAGCCTTCCAAGTAGCTGGAAGTAGAGGCGCGCACTACCACGCCTGGCTGATTTTTTGATTTATTGTAGAGATGAGGGCTCGCCAAGTTGCCCAGGGGGGGCTCGAACCTGCGGGCTCAGGCAATTCACTCACCTCAGCCTCCCAAAGCACTGGGATTACAGGCTGAACCACCGAGCCCGGCTTAAAAGTGCTAGGATTACAGGTGTGAGCCACTGTGCCCAGTCAGCAGCTGTATTTCTAAAGTTTCACCTTTAACATGTGTCTCTGGGAACTCAGCAGGCCTTGGAGTAGCTTCCGTGGCCAGAAGAACTCTTCTCAAGCGGGAACACCAGCTCAGGGAACTCCCCTCTCCTTTGCCCTGTGGGAATGTCAGTGCTGAAGGTGAAGTTGCCCCAGTCAAGCCCTGAGACCACACACCTGTGACCTGTGCCAGAGACCCTGCCATATGCTCATCAGGTGACGATGTCAGGCTCTAAGAACCAAGCACAGGTCTTGCCTCTCCTGACCCAGGATTTTCCCATGGTCCACACTCCAGAGTGGAACCCTGCTCTGCCAGGGCATTGGCCTCCCATCTTGGGGTCAGCCGCTGACAAAGACCAGGACTTGAGGTGCTCTGGCGTGAGCTGGACATGGCACAGGTGACCGAGAAGCCATGGTCCAATTCAGGCCCGAAGCTGAAGGCTTAAGTTCCTGGCTTCATTTGCCCCATCAATAAAGTAGAGAGAAAAGCAACACTGGAACACAGTATATTTTCCTCACAGGGTGAGTGACACAGCCCATGTGCTCCCCCCAGGTAGAGCTCATTGCGTGCTGCAAGGAAGGGGTTGCTCGTGGCTGCCAGGAGAAGTGGTGGGCACAAACCCACTGTCACAGGCTTTCTCTCATCCCTTATGCCCTGGGGCAGACATCTGTGAGAACAACTGGCTGCAAGCAGTTGTGCGCGGCCCTGGGCTGAGGAGGACAGAACTGGCTGCATCAGGACTGTGACCACCGTGCTGGCCTCATTCGCCGCAAACCTTTGTCAGCTCAGCCAAGCGACCTGGAGTCCTCTCACTCAGATGTCGGGCTAAGAACTGAATGTCCTGGCCGGTGGCTGGCTGATGTAATTCCCCAAGGCTATCGGATTTAAAGGGCCGAGGTCTTCTGCCGGACAGAGCCCATGCGGCCCGCGGTCTCCTAAATCCAGTGCTGGCCATCTACCAGTCCAGGGAGATGACAGCCAGTGAGTATCACCTGCCGGTCAAGGTCCCCTGGACAGCTCCTGCTCAGGCCCTTCTGCTGTCCTGAGGCTCCCTCTGCTTTCCAGGGTCTAGAGGCTATGGGCAGAGCTTGATTGGCGATGTGTTTGGTTTCAGACACAAGGGTTGCTTCCGAGGCTGTGCAGAAGAAGCTGGCTTTTATTCATTGCCCAAGTTTATGCAGGAAGTTGATTTGGGCAATTATGCTTTTTGATGGTGATATCACCAGCCACCGTTAACAACTTAACAATTAAGTGAGCACCTTTCGCCTACTTTTCCTCACATGTAGATTCTTCAGTTTCAGACAGGACTGTTCTGAGAGCCCGGGCCGATCTTATTCCACAGCATGAGTAGAACAATCAGTTAAAATAGTTCAGACTAGTTTATTCACCCACCACTATTTGACAAACCAAACAAATCAGAAGATGATTTTCTCCAACTTGCTCCCTTAGGAATGACATTTTCTTTTTAGTGCTTCTCAAATCATTCGCCAGAGAGGCTGTTTAATTTGGTTTACTTGGACAGATCAGTTGTCTGGCAGGTTTTATTCAGAAGAGGCTGAGATACAAAAAGTCAATCGCTGAAGTCAGATGCCAGGTGGAAAAGTGGGGAAACTGAGGATGGGGCTCCTGACTGAGGCTGTCTCAGGGAGCAAGGAAGAGGGAACAGCATGAGTCAGGCAGTCAAAGCCACACCCTGAACCCCAGGCTGGTGGTGGGAGGACGTGCTGCGGGCGGGGCAACCAGGCCTGGCCACTGCCTCCTGAGGAAGCTGCACAAGTAAACGGGCGCTGGCAGCAGGAGGTTGGAGGAGTGTGAGGCTGCCCCTTTCCTCTTGGCCAATGTGACCTTGCACTAGGGCTAGGTGAACCCCTGTACGTACAACTCCCCAAGTGCTGGCTGAGGGTCTCTGTGTCCGCCTGATGCCTGGGAAGAGGGGGCCAGAGGGAAGGGTGTGCTGTCAGCAGATCTCACATGAGACGCAGAGCACAGAGATGCACCAACAACTCTTCCCAGCGGAAACAAGAGAAACCCATTCAAAGTCTCCTTCCTGTAAGGGTCTGCAAGTTCCCTCCTGCAGGAACTTTAGGTCAACTACAAGCTTAGAGGGGACACAGGCCTCCACAGACCACTGCTAGTGAAAAATACAAGGCATTTCAAAGCTGTGACTGCATTCGATTGTCAGGATTAAAGCCCTCGGTCAATATCAAATGTGTCCTGAGGACATGGTTACCACCATGCTGGGGTATGGGAGGTGGAAAAATCACAGAACAGCATCAGCCTAAAGCAAGGCTTATGGGCAGGAGGTGTCTAGGCTCATCACTAGACACCCAGACTCAGTCTCACCTGGCACCTGCATGACCCCAGATGGATGCGACAGTGAACAGGGAGAGCACAAGGCCTTAGGATGACTTGGGGTTTCTCTCCCTGAGGGGTCACCTGGTAACAATGGGACAATCATCACTGCTAGAGCTTAGATACACCATAGGTTTAATAGAATCTTCATAATAGATGTAAAATTGCAAAGCTTTCTATGGTCTGAATGTTTGTGTCCCCCCAAAATCCATATGCTAAATCCTAACCTAAGGTGATGGTATGAGGAGGGGGAATCTTCCAGAGGTGACTGGTCATGAGGGTGGAGTCCCCACAATTGGGATCAGTGCCCTTATAAGAGGCCCCAGAGAGCCCTATGCCCTATGGCACACTGATTAGTGAGCATAGCTTATATGGAAAAGTGAACGATGGACCCACCGATCCATACAATGCAGGTGCTGACTGATGCCTTCTGAGTGTTGTCCTGATACCAGCATCCTCCCTACGAGGGGAAGAATTACTGAACACTCTCTGTGAGCCTTTACTCTTTATTTCTCATGCATTTCATGACTGTGCTGGGAGCCTAGGGCTGGGAGAGGGAACAGCCACGGGAGTCGCATTTCTCACTGGCCCTGTGAAAGGTGTCATGACAGGCATATGAGGAATATTGCCTCGTCTATTCCTCAGAGTTATGGGCACTACTTTTATCTCCATCTTCCTTGAGGGGAGCAAGGCTGGGGTGAGGTAGATGAGGTCACATGTCTGCTGAATGGCAGGAGGTTGAGGTTGAACCCAGATTTGTCCAAATCGAGGGAGCATGCTTATACAGGGGGCCCTCCCACTTCCCAGCAAGCCTGTTCTGTGATGATTGGAAAACAAAATTTCTACTTATGAAGGAAGCCGAGGACGATTTAAGATGGTATAAAACAAATGCCTTAACTTCATGGCAGGGATAGAATAGGCAAGTAGAGATCAGTGTGGATGGTGTCCAGACCCTTCAGCAGGTGACTCTTGTAGGAGGACTGGAGAATGAGTGAGCAAAGAGAGTCAGGAAGCTAGTTCCCAGTGGGTGAATTGGGGAGGACAGAGAACAGTGGTTTAACTGGAATAAAATGTGGGTAAGCATGGTGTTGGGTTTGCTGGTCTCTTAGAATACTGAGCAGTGAGGGTCAGGCTTGAAAACCAAAGGGTGCAATGATCTGGTTCCAACCATACATCCCTCTGCCCCAATTTCCCCGTCTTCCCAAGAGAGGGGCCTTTTGGGGATCCGGTCACTAGTTCAACCAACACTGTTGATAATCAGCGTGCAAGAAGGGTGCACAGGCAGGACGAGATCTGATGCCAGACTCCATGTAGTGAGGGCACCCACTGAGACTCACAAGCTGTTTCTGGGCCTCAGGCAACAAGGAGGACATGTGGCTACACATCGATGCTGCTTACGCAGGCAGCGCCTTCATCTGCCCTGAGTTCCGGCATCTTCTGAATGGAGTGGAGGTAAGTGTGCTCTTTGCTCTTTAATAAGGTCATTTTTTAAAGGTGCTTTGCTCTCAGTGCCTTCTCCCTTTATAAGGATGTGACCTTCAATTTCTTGCTGTTGTAGTTTGTCTCTAGTGATTACTGGAAATTCTACTTCCTCTGGACAGAGACTAGAGCCTTCCTGGTCATACAGCCTGTCTTCTTGAAATACCCATGATGTTAATAGTTATTTTTCAGTCTACACAAATTCTGGACAGAGCTGTCATGATAGCATAGATTTGAGCTTATAAAACTGTGGGAAATGCTTGGGGAAAAAAATAAAATCTTAATGCATTCAGTTTAAAGGCAGTTTAAAATGTCAACTGCAATTCCCTACAATCTGGTTCAATATGATAGCCATGTTCTGCCCATCCATACGAACATTATATTCACTTTAGTCAATATTGAAGCAGCAGCTACCAGTGCGTTCAAATGCCCCACACACTCTTCTGGAAATTGTAAAACGTGGTCTGTACTGCCAAGTAAAACATCAGCTTCTTTTGAGAAATAGCGATCAAAGTTATTGACCAATACTCTGCTTCTCCAAGGAGCTACAGAATATAAAATGGTACAGATTTAGTGTGAAGAAATGCCCTCGTGGATATGCCACGATGTGTTATTTCAGACTCAAGCAGGAATTCATCGTTGGTGGCAGCTCATGGGGCAGGAAGTCTCTTCCTCCCAAGAACTCAGATATAAATGCCATATAGGGCCCTGAGAGGCAGTCTTTGGCAATGTGTCCGGGAAAAGGAGATACTAAACCAGGTGAGCCGTGGCATTAGCCAAGAGAGAAATGCTTTCTGCTGGGGGACAGGGGTTCTCGGGAGATCTCACCCACATGTGGTGCAGGTTGAAGGGCACAGTCTTTGGCTTTAGACTTCTTGCTGGAATCCACTAGCTGTGCGCCCTTGGGCAGGTTACCTGTCCTTCCTAGAAAACAGATAGCCTCAAAAAATGCATTTCGTGATGACGTGTTTTTGTGGCACTGCTATCAGGTCTTCAGTGAATCACAATAAAAAAAATAGTGAATGGCACATAGTTAATATCAGGCATGCCTTAAATGCTTCTATTATTTTTCACCCTGGCTTGGAGAAACTGTCCCTTAAAACCTCTCTCTGCTCGCATGCCAATCAGTTTTCTAATTACCACTTTGACTTACATACTCATAATGCTGTAATACTAGCAAAGTGGGTGCCAGGAGTATAGAATACAAAGGGTCTTAGCTTTGAAAAGAATAATCCCTTTATTATTAATGAATAAAGTACAATTCTCGTTTCTATCATTTCATTCATTTATTTTTCCCCTCATTCATTAAACAATTACTTACCAAGCTCTTCGTACCTGCTAGGGTTTGGATGGATCATTGGGGGATACAGGGAGCGTCCAGAGACCTGCATAAGTATTGGGGAGGGGGAGGCAATATGTGAGAAATTCTGACAATGTGATGCTAATACCCAGTCCTCTACAGTTTACCGCTGATGGCTAGTTTGGTGCTAGGAAATGAAGACTAAGTTTGTAGAACATGTGAATACCTTTCATTATGGAGACAATCTACATCATTCGATATGTCTGTCCCTGGACAGTTTAAGGGGAGAAGGGCTAAGCATTCATCTGGGATTTACACTCCTCACCCCATGGCATGGCCTGGGCTGCAGGCTTTTCTCTAACTCTAGGTATCAGGTTTAGGGTTTCACGATCTTTTCTAACCATTGCTCTTCTCTTCTCCGTGAACTGACAACTTGAGGTTTCACCTTTCATAGAAAGGTACTTAACGGTCAGACCACCACAGCGATGGCCATTCCAGCTAGATCCTATCAGCAGCAGACAGTATTTCATGACTGACAATGAGTCATTTCAATTTTTCCTCCATTATTGCCCTGACTCTCTCTACTTGCCCAGCCGAGGGCTGTGCTGCTCAGTGGGTCAGATAAGGGGGCTGCAATATCCTGTTGTGGCCCTGCCCGTGGAGATAAGAGCCTTTCTCTCTGTCAGCAGGAGGAAAATATCACTGTTGGGTAATGAAAGAAGTTTAAACAGATCAGGCCCACGGGAGGGAACTCATAAAATTCCTAGCAAACAAAGCTCCTCTTTAACCTTTTGTCTCCTTTTATCAACAAATGAAACTTGCTGTAATTTCCTGTCTCTTTCTCAAAATTACTTTTATTGAAACCTGGAAGGAAATGAATCTGCACCCCCAGAGCAGGTCGACGGGGAAGGCTGCCATCCGCTGACCAAATATCTCCCCACGGACGGACGTCCGCCTGACCCCTTAGACCTCTTCTCTGCTGCTTCTGGGTGCGCATCTCTGAACCAAATAGGGAAGAGGTGCCCTAAAGCCAGAGGAAGATTGAAAGTTTCTCAGCAGGGATTCGGCCAGATTGGGCCTTGCTATGGCAGCTGCCGTTAGCTTTACTTCAATGATGCATTTAGCCGTGTGGCCAAATCCCTGGCCTGTTGGGTACACCCAGTTCTTGTTCACCAGGGCATTCATCTTGAAAAATGTAAGAAGGTACCATTTACAACAGTGCAGTGAAAATGCAGAGTGCCCTCCTTGGCCATTCTTGGTAGTTGAGATCTCTTATTTTCTCCTTGAAAATACGGTAGTCCCTAACACTGATGCCTGGAGTTGGATCCAGTTGTATGCCGTTATACCCTGGATCTTCCAGCCAGGGGACCTCTAACTGTTAGGAATACAATGAACTCGAATATTATCTTTAAAAATAAAAGAGGAAAATATGTAGGTAAATGAAGAGAGTTGTTGATATGTCACAGTAATATTGGCAAAAGAACCAACCAATTAAATGAAAACTGGGTTTATCTCTAATTACTATAGATTTGTGGTGAAGTTTTTACTTCCCCACTGTTTGTGATGACACATATATTCTAAGAATGTAGTTCATGAAGTTGAAGGAACTGCAGACATGAAGTATTTCACAGGCTGAATCGACATAATTTCTGGACATCACACTTGTGAACTAAAATGCTGACTATTTCAATCATTCCAGGAGTTTGACATACAATATGGATACATTCTATATCATTTTTAGACAATACAAATTTGAAAGTCCTTTTCATTTGAGAATATAAATTTTCAATTATATATGTGGTCTTGTCTTATACTAAACATTTATATAACTGTTTTCTTTTGTGTTGTTCTTGTTATTGGCAGTTTGCAAATTCATTCAACTTTAATCCCCACAAGTGGCTTTTGG